GCGTCGAATGGTGCTAAGATCATGTCTTTAGCACCGATAGATAGATTGCTAATTCCAATTATTTATAAATCATTTGGCGTGGGTTAACGTGTGATAGATCGATGCTAGAGACATGATCTTACCACCATTCGACGCGTCTCGTCGAGGCGAATCCAATGATATATAGCTCGACTTTGTACGATCACTAGATAGACGGCTATTCGATTTTTCGCATTTTTATAAAAATCGGATTAAACCGAACCGAACCGCCAGTTTTTCGGTTCGGTTCTTACGGATTTCAGCTCTAATCCGAACCGTCTATAATCCGGACCAAACCGACCCATTCAGAGCTTTATCAATAACTATTAAATCAGATCGAAATAGCAAGTCTGATGATAACCTATTCCATCACATATATAAAAAAAGACATTTAACAAATAAAAATAAACTAGACATATGGGCTGATTTGTCTACCTTTAATTAAAATATTGATTTTATTACATTTTTATTATACAAAATACTATATAGTATACAGTAAATTGAGGTTGAGTATTAAAAAACTTTTATTTAATGTTATTATACTATAAGTTGGTAAATATTTCTTTTAAATTAATATAATTTTTAGCACTTACTATATATATGAAAAATTTGTATCTCAACTTTAAATGTAAATATCTCCAGATCTAATGATCCAATCGGCAAGCTCTTTTTTCGCTTATATAGACCAGATCAAAGGCTTTCTGAAGAGCCTAAATTTATAAAAAACGGATCAGTGGATCCCAAGATATTTGCATTTAAGCATGTTAAAAAGTTCGTACCTCAACTTTAAACGTAAATATCTCTGGATCTAATGATTCAATCGGCGAGCTCTTTTTTCGCCTATAAAGTCCAGAACAAGGCTTTCCAACGAGCCTAAATTATAGAAAACAAATCAGTGAATCTTGATATATTTGCGTCTAAAGATGGTAATACAAATTCCGACATAAAATAATTATTTTTATTGTTTGAAAATATCTATTATGATACCATCTTTTATATGATATTTTTATTATACTTTTATAACCATTTATAGCTACTAAGACTATATAAATTTTTATTTTACTTTATATTTTATTAAAATATACTTACTTTTTAATAATATATGTTAAAAATTCCATATATATGAGAAATGGATTTTTTATTAATGAAATGGGTTTTTTCACACCTCTTTTACATTTAATAATTTAAGTTTTACAAATGTAAATTTTTGTTCAACTTATTATTTAGTCATGTGATCATCAATCAGATGATTTTTTGGTATTATAAAACAATTTTGAGTAACGAAAATTGTGCAAATCAATTCAATAACTCTTTTTAATGCAGAGTAGACAAATCAGCCTACATAATAAGGGTTGATCACCCTATCTCAGTAGTTGGTTACTGAGATCCTCATTAAGCCTGAGTATGGTAAGGTCACAGGATCACAGAAATAAAAAGAATTTTACTGCAGACGCTACCACCAATAGCGTGAAGATACAGGGATTAGGTAGTTGGACTGCACCATGCCCTATAAAAAATATTTTTGCCAAAATATACTTAAAATAAACTTAAATTTTTATTTTATACTTAAAATATATTTAAAATTTTATTTTATACTTAAAATATACTGAAATAGGCAAAAATTAAGTATTATTTAAGTATAATTTAAGTACATAATAATATACTTAAAATATTATTATTTTAAATATTCTTAAAATATACTGAAATAGAAAAAATTTAAGTGTAAATTAAATATATTTTAAGTATATATTAAATACAATTTAATTCAAATTTTACGAAAATTCAATTTTCAGTATATTTTAAGTATAAAATAAGAAAATTAAGTATATTTTAAAGAAAATTAAATATAATTTAAATATATTTTAAGTAAAATTTTTTTTTATAGGGATGGTGAATTAGTGTGTATGGTTAAGCTGCACATTTCAACAAAGGGTCATGGTGTTATTCTAACGTTCCCTATAAGGTCATTAGGATGTTTGAAGTCTTGTCTGTGAGATCACTGCTTGCATACCTTAAGGGTAATTTCCTGTTCAGGTGGTCACTCAAATGATACCGCTTGGGGTCTGATGTGGCTAGATGGTTATTATAGATAGTAAAATCCTGGGTGCAATGACTTTGCGGTAGTTTACCTTTTAATAGGTTTAGGCCAACTAGGATATTTCTAAACAGACAGGTGTACTAGGTGAGGTATGGGGTTCAACTTCCCACTAAGCGGGTACTGGGTGGTAGCTTGGGTGGTAGGGCACCACTGGAAATAATCCCAAACAAGCAAGTCTGTACTATCTCATGTTCTTTCTGTCTCAGTGGTCACTACTATACCATTGGGAGATTCACAACTGTACTTTGGGGCTAAGGAATCATGGGCTGTAGTGGCTTTGAGTGAGCCTTAGTTCAGTTCTGAAGTGTGAATGTTGGTACGGAAGGGTTTCTAGATGATTACCATTACATCTGACACCAAAAGTCTGCCATTACTAAGACATGTCAGAATGGCATATAAATTTGAGCTTGTCTTGCCTAGAGCTCCGAACAGGTCAGCTAAATTCAGGTATCCTGACCTAACCTGACCTGAAATTCAGGTCAGGTATGAGATTTTTAAAAAAAATTCAGGTCAGGTATGAAGATTGACCTGACCTGATTGACCTGTTGACCTGAAACTATTGATTCTACTATATAATAAAAGTGAGTTGCAGTATTGTGATT